AACAAATCTAGTTCAATAATTTAAAAAAAAAAAAAAAAAAAAAAAAAAAAAACAGCAGTACTGCCGTAGTAATAGTATGGAATTATATTGATCGAAATATGGCTGTTTAGATTCAAAACCTTACCGTATGATCATGCCACCAATGAAGAAATATTATCTCATTATCATTTTTGACATTAAACATTAATTTAAAAACTTGTAAGTTATTAAAAGAGCCGTGATATAATGCATTTCGCAATGCTTCATAAGATTCCTCATCCTTTTTCTTTGCTGCATATATTCATATGAAAAACAATGTATTAATATGTGTGTGTATAATCTTCAATAAATAAATCAAATGCCTAAATATTTGGCAACGTAGCTTTACACTAAAATCAACTAACCTAGTTCTGCAGAGAAAGTAGCCACTAAGGTGGTTATTTCCCTATGTTCATTTTGAACCCTGTAACAACAACAACAACAACATGAACAACAACAACAACAACAACAACAACAACAACAACAACAACAACAACAATAATAATAATAATAATAATAATAATAATAATAATAATAATAATAATAATAAGCTAGTAAATTATGTAATTTTGGGTGATTTTTTTGTGAGATGGGTCGAGATAAAAAAATATAATACTTATGTTGTGATAAAAAATGTAATACTAATTAGAAATTTAAAAAATGTATAGATCAGTAATATTTATGGATTGAACAATTACTCATAAAAAAAATTAATTATAATATTAATCATAAATAAATTAATTGATTGTAACTAATGAAAGAAAATGTAATACTTATGAAAAATTAGACTCGTCTTACGGATTTTCTGTAACTAACCGACTAAAATCAAGAATATGTACTAATAGTACACTATATTGATATTAACTAATAATGAATATATAAAAACATTAAATCTTACTTGAAGCGAGGGTCACAGGGATAGGCGGCACAGTTAACAACATTTCTGCCTATCCAATAGGCAGCCATTGGCAAGGCCGAAATGACAGATTGTGGAGGGGAGTAAGATAGGCATTGTTTCATCTCAACCACACATTTGGTCAGTTCTATGGCTGAGGATAATAATGGTGTTGGAATTGGACTCTGATGGCTACTTTGTTTCAGATGTGCCAACTTCCCAGCTAATCCTTTGCCTTTACGCAGTCGTGAAATAAGGGTGGATTCTCCATGGATAATTGAGAAAGCTCCTACCATAAGGACTAACTTATCCTCCCAACAATAAGGAGATAGAATGCTCAGTACGTTATGAATAGTGGAGTGCTGATGTTTTGCAATTGCACCAGAAGCTATCTAAAAATAGAATTAATCATCCTATCAGTCATCGAAAGCATTACTATATATACATTTTGATCATCCATCATCATAGCTTTCATACCTCGAATGAAAGTTGTTTGATATGAAGTGGAAGTTCCTTGTAAGTATCGAGCTCTTGGAGTTGATTCAACTCTTCCACCGTGGCTTTTTGAGCAGTACCCTGCAGATCCATCCCCATAGTACATAAAATTTTCATTTAAAAAATAAAAACCAAAGCCTTCGCTTCTTCAAACCATTATATTGTTATACGACATGCATGCTTTAGTCGTATGTATAGTACCATAATCTAACTACTTTTGTTCCTAGGCCGGTAAAGTCAAACATAAAATATAATTTTAAGATATCATGAAGTGATAAGTAGAACGACAGACCATCTCAAGGCTAAGAGTCTTTTCTGCCATGCTCAAAATGGAATTGGTGTTAAATTCTCTACCATCATAGTTGTGAGTGGACAAAACCTGTTCCCTGATTATACTCTCATCAACAGGTTGGCTGCATAGTGATGTGAGCATCATTGTTGGTTGTGAAGTTACTCTCTGGGATACAAGTAGACTTGTTTGGGCTGCCATATTGAATGGAGAATATATATTATTAGCTACTTGAGGGGAAAATGAGCTGAGGGTGACAATTTATAACTAAGATTGATACATATCATCACTCACCAAAACATCACTTATATATAATAGCATTTGGAGTAGAAATGGAGGAGAAGAATCGAAATGCCTATCAGATAATCAAAAAGCTAAAGAAAGCAAAATTATTCTTATCCTTCAGTGCACTCTAATCCTCCAAGAATGCATGCCCAGATCGATGCTCACTGCTAGTAAAGCTAAGGGAGGGTGGAGCTTAGCTTGTTATTCCATGCATCCTTTTCCTAGCTCCTTTACATTTGTCTGTCTTTTTTTTTTTTTTGAGTAACCAAGAAAACTTGTAGATATTATTTCTGGGTGAGTGTATTATACACTCAATTTTAGAGCGTGCAATATGGACAAGAGCCCAGGGCGTCAATTTTTAGAGGGCCCAATTAATATTTATTTTTGACCCAGTTAATTAATATAAATTGGAAGTGTACTGAAGTAGGAACTGTGATTTTTGTATTCAGTTGGTGTTACACCCTTCATCCTTATTCGAAGTAAAAATAGCATATTTTACGGTATTGATTTTAAAAATTGTGCTTATACTTTTGGTAGGACCTCATTTATTTATAAGAACGGGGCCACAAAAAATCCAAAAACCGGCTCTAAGTGTATACTGCGTAATGCTTTGTAATCCTAGGTGACAATGGACCACAATGAGGTAAATCAGTCTAAGATGTCCAAAGCTAACTCAAACCAATTAAAAATGTCAATAGACCGCTCTGGTGGAGTTGAACTTATAACCTTTAGTCACTAAATCAATAGTTTCACTGTGTGCCCTTAGAGTTGGGGTTCAGCCTTTTGGAATAGTAGTTTCACTGTCTGTCTTTGTTGCTTCTGTCCAGTACACCCAGTGAGACACGCAACTTCAGTTCGGACCATTCTTCTTCTTTTAGACTATACAGATTCTAATATCATCTTTAAGCCTGTCTGAAGTGCATGTGCAATTTCGTATATATTGACAAATGCCTAATCTGCAGAAAAGATATTGTATTCCCACCAAATTAAGTTTTATATATTTCTATTTCTTTCTGATCCCATAATTAAAAATAATAATGGCATAGTATATAGGAAGAAAAAAAAAAAAAAAAGACACATTAATTTTAACATAGAGATCGAAAGGTAAAAATCAGGGGTCTTTTTCGGTGGTGCCAAGTTAGAAACCCATTATCTTTTGTAGGTACACTAGTAACAAAATGAACAAATTAAAGGAGATTGACTTTTCGCAACCCTTCTAAAAAGAAGGTTGGTGTATTCTTAAAAAAAAATCGCGGTGGCATAACTGTAAATATTTAAATAAGAATCCACGACACGGTTGCTAACTAAAACGGTCGCGGTCTGAAAAGGCAAAAAGGAAGATCTCATGGTAGTTGCAGACGACCTTGGTAGGAGATACTTAAAACTTGATCGGGAAAAAGACGCCAACCATAAAAGAAGTAGTAGTAGAACTAGAAAATGTTAAATCTCCCACAACCTCATACGTGGCAAAGAATTTTGAGGGCAAAAGGTTGTCGGAGGTTGAACCAATGACATTTTTTGAAACGAAACTAATTATACATGGACCACAAGGAAAAATTGCAGTACTACATCACTAGACGCACACCCAACCCGTTATGAATTGTTCGATACATAAACGATGACATTGTTTAAGTGATAGTATTTTTGACATGCACTAATTTTGTGTAATTGTTAAATTGGATAAAATCGTTAGTGTTTATTTTGGATGGTTTTTAATAATTTAATAAAGACTTGATGCATTGGGTGATTGGAGCAAGCCTAGAGTTGAACAAAATTCGTTACAAATATTATATTTGTGCTCAACATGTTCTGAGATTTTTCTTTTAAGGGGGTGGGAATGTGGCCCGTGGAATCAAGGTTTTTCCATTCACATGAGTGATAGAACATATATTGTAGTATGAATTAATATTTCACCCAACTTGATTAGTCATATTTTCTTTTCTGGCTCTTAGTTAGTTACAAGGCTTAGTTTCACCTTATGCCAAAAGAAAAAATTCTCATTATGGGCTTTACACAACCCGACATCACTTAACACCAAACGGAATAGCCCCTTTCATTAATGAAGGCAACACCTTAGTCTAGAAAAAGCTAAGTTATGGAGATTAGAAGCTTAATGCATTCCTGGAACTCCAAGTACTCCTCCAAAGGTGTACGTGACAATGTGGAGGTAAGAAACCATTTCCTTATGTCGTTGCAATGCCACTTGATGGATAGGGGTGATCTCATTGTACGCTCGGATAGTTGGTAGCTTTTTGTTCTTTTCTATCACACACTTAGCAGCCTTGACAGGAGTGTAGTATGCGGTGAATCGAAAGCAAGGTAGGGAATGAAGATTCCCCGGGATGTTATATCTCAAGGATGAAAATTTTAGAGTTTAACGATGTGTGATTGAACACGAGTGAATAAAAACCTACAAAAAGCTAGGTACAAGTGTATGCAAAAGCCATCGAGTATCGCAAGTAACAAAGCAAGCAATAGAGCAAGTAGCAAAGTGAACGAGGGAGTAAGCAAGCAAAGCAATCAACTAAGGTAATACACCACATACTACTCATAAGTGCACCACTCAGCAGTACTTAGTGCACCACTAAAATATACATTGTCGACAAAATTACAAAATTGCCTATGCGTTATTCCTCATCTGCATTGATTTCAATCCGTCTGATATGATTTTTCATCCTACTGTTTTGACATTCCGCACGACCGCATATGTGTGTGTGTGTTTATCCGGAGACTTGGACCAGACATGGATGCCCTATGAGTTGGCTCTCTTTTTCCTTCGACGTCGTCTACGCATAGGTACGCCCACACCACTAACACATCGTGCCAGTAGGGGAAACACATAACTGAGGGACCAAACTCGCCACTTTACTCATAACTGAGGGACTAAACTCGGATACTCCCATAACTTAAGGACTGAGTCGGAACTTGGTTATAACTCAGGGACTAAAGATGCAATTTTCCCTTTTTTAATGTCTCTTTTTTTTGGGTGAAGTCCAACTGCATTTTTCTAATGTTTATTATTCATTTCTTTCATGTTTCAGATATGAAATTTTCCAGCTTATGGTAAACCTTTATACTGAGAGGTTTATTTGGCTGAGAAAGCTTAAGTGACCAAGCTAATAATCTGATAAATATAGAGATTTAAAAGGTATTGAATATTCATTTATTAAAAAATAATTAATTAGACTTATACAGATCCTATCCTCTCCTCTCCGTTCCCAATTTCCCATTCCCGGCGAACACGAACGCCGACGGCGTAGGCGTTTCCCTCCGGTCAGCTGCGGTGTTGACGACGGTGAAGACCGGTGGACGTTTCCGGTGGACGACAGCGTAGTCGTTTCGATACATCCAACTATTTGTAACGTAGACGTTTCCTCCTGCCTTGTCTTTCGGTTTTGTCTCCATCTTCAATCCAAGACATAAAAGAATAATCAAATCCCTTGGGCGTGATACTCAGATTCCAGAATATTCATCTCTATCTCCATTCGCCCAACTCACCCAGTTTGAACATACTGATTTTAGTTAGCAAATATGGTGTCTTTGGGTTTGACTCAGCAATTCCAAATGCGATTCAACAAGAACTCTACTGCGGATTTTCCGACCAAGGCGGCTCAACCACGGCTTTGCCATTTTGGCAAAAACAGTGTCCGATTCAGAGTGTTGGCTTCGGAAAGCCAGGCACCAGAGCCCGATCTCAGTGTCACTGTAAACGGGCTGAAAATGCCCAACCCCTTTGTCATCGGATCGGGCCCTCCCGGCACCAACTACACCGTTATGAAGAGGGCCTTCGATGAAGGTTGGGGCGCTGTCATCGCCAAAACGGTATCTTGCTCATCTTTTTATAGTCTCCATAACTTCATATTGAAATCTAGATTGAATATTGTTAGCTATAAAAGCCTAAGCTGATAGTTGGTTTGGACATTAATGGTTATATGCTCAACATGCCGCCTCACGTGTGTAACACGTGGACTGACTCTATACCAAATTGAAGCGTGTGCACCATCTCAACTAAAAGCCTAAGCTGATAGTTGGATTGCACATTAATGTTATATGTTCAACACTTTTAATGTGCTTTTGAACAATAGAATTGACTTTGATATTGTCATATGCTGTAATACACTACAGGTTTCCTTGGATGCTTCAAAAGTTGTGAATGTTACTCCCCGATATGCCAAGCTTCGAGCAGCAGGATCAAATGGCTCTGCAAGAGGACAAATTATTGGCTGGGAAAATATTGAACTTATAAGTGATCGACCATTGGAAACAATGTTGAAAGAGTTTAAGCAATTGAAAGAAGAATATCCGGATAGGATACTTATTGCTTCAATCATGGAAGAGTATAGCAAAGCTGCCTGGGAGGAACTTATTTACCGGGTGGAGGAGACTGGAGTAGTAAGCGAAGAATTGGCTCCTCATTCCTTAACTGCTACTCCACATTTTCAAACTCAATAGGCTTCTTTGATAATCTTTACCTCGAAACTGTTTTGTAGGATGCAATTGAAATCAATTTTTCTTGTCCTCATGGCATGCCGGAACGTAAGATGGGTGCTGCTGTTGGACAAGATTGTGAACTGTTGGAGGAGGTTTGTGGATGGATTAATGCCACCGCTACTGTCCCTGTTTGGGCAAAGATGACACCAAACGTTACTGACATTACAAAGGTATGCTTGATATGGAGTTCTTCATATGATTAATGTTGATAACCTCTTTTGTTAATCCAAAGGAGGTAATGGCCCTGTTTGGTAAATAGCTGTTAGCTGATTGTCAATTAGGGGGTATAACTAGTTGATAACATTAGCTGTTGTAGAATAGTGTTTGGTAAATTAGCTATTAGCTGATAGCTGATAGCTGTTTGGTATAATTTCTTTTTTGAAAAAGCTAATTAAAGAAGTTGCTCGGAGTAACTTTTTGAATTTTAACATTTTGGAGTTACAAAAAGCTAATTAACCAAATACTTATATAGATATTTTAACTAAATCAAACAATTAATAGTGGTCAAATAAGCCAAAATTGGCCTATAGGCCAATTTTTTACCAAACAGGGCCAATATGTTTTAACTTCCCTTTGTTCTTTAATATTTCCTGTTAATAACTTCCATATCCCGAAGCAGAAAGAAAATTTTCACTGATATAGTATCTTTCAAGTTTTTAATAGTATTTTTTTTTTAATTCCTTGGGGTGTCACAGCCAGCTAGGGTGTCTCTTAAATCAGGATGTGAGGGGGTGGCTGCCATAAATACAATAATGAGTGTCATGGGCATCAATCTGGATACTTTACGTCCCGAGCCTTGTGTTGAAGGGTTAGTATTTCCAGGGATGCATGTATTCAAATTGGATTATTTTATCAAAAGGTTTACAAATTTCTTTCTCTATTATTTTATCTAGATATTCAACTCCCGGAGGCTATTCTTCGAAGGCAGTGCATCCAATTGCTCTTGCAAAAGTGATGAACATTGCACAGATGATGAAATCCGAATTCGGGGATCAAGGCTATTCCCTCTCTGGTATTGGAGGAGTTGAAACAGGTGGCGATGCTGCTGAGTTTATACTTCTTGGAGCAGATACTGTGCAGGTAGGATGATGTTGTTGAGCATATAACCATTAATGTGCAATCCAACTATCAGCTTAGGCTTTTAGTTGAGATGGAGCACATGCTTCAATTGATGTGACCTTTATTTTGAGTTCATGCAATTATGAAATTGATTTCATATTGCAGATAAGTTGACATGTTTGTAGTTTGTAATGAGACCATCTTTACATCACAAATGGTTACATTATACAATAGCATAGGCATTTTCATGCTTTGGTACATGAGAAGTGTAAGTTGGGATTTAAGAAATTAAAATATATTGAAATCTAGAGGTATATTCTTCCAGATAATAGTTGCATGAACGAATATCTTATCCCCGTCTCTAAGTTTTGGACACAGTATTTTATGATTCTTAACTGGTGTCTTATTTTAGGTTTGCACAGGAGTGATGATGCATGGATATGGACTAGTTAAGAAGCTATGTTCTGAGCTCAGAGATTTCATGAAAAAGCATAATTTTTCATCGATAGAAGAGTTTAAAGGGTATTCTCTCTCTCTCTCTCAACCACTGAGACAAAAAATCATAATTCTAATGTAAAATGTTTCGATTTTAGTCTCTTGATCTCTTCCACTAAGATGTACAAAATGAAGTCTAAGACTCTAAGGCAATAGGATTTGATGTTGTGTATACTCTATACTTACCCTTTTGCTTGTCATTACTTCAGAGTTTCACTTCCATACTTCACAACTCATATGGATTTGGTGAAAAGACAGCAAGAAGCAATGCGCGAAAGGAAAGCTATTAAGAAAGGATTGCAATCTGACAAAGACTGGACAGGAGATGGTTTTGTTCAAGAAACTGAGAGTATGGTTTCCAACTGATTAATGTGTCTTTCCACTTCTATTCTAACAAATAAAAGAACCTCCTATGTACCTGATTTGGGTGAGGTCCATTTCTTTTCTGTGGTTGGTATCACTGTTTATTTATTTCTAATGTAATTTATGATGAAAATAAATTGTGCTAAGATGGTATGTAGTGACATCTCTCATGTGGGAGGTCATTAGGTTGAGAAAGTATGTTTGAACAGTCAGTAGCATTCAGAAAAAAAAAAAAAAAAAAAAAAAAGAAGAGAAAGTATGTTTGAACAGATATTACGATGTAATAAAGTCGGTAGCATTCAAAGGAAAAAAAAATTGATTGGTTGGCTAATTAAGGGTATTCTTGTAATTTAATTCTGGTTACTCTTTGATGTGTCACTTGATATCAGCCTTAGGCTAAATTTATCCCTGAAATTTTAAGGTGAAGTAGGCATTGCAAGGTGAGGTGGAAAAATGAAATATTTGTAAAGATCGGATCGGATTGAACTGTGGATTCAAATTGGATTTATTTATTTCTTCTCCCAGCTATCTTCGTTTCCAGAATCATCCTTCTTTGAAGATTTGATCGGATCCTTATTCACATTTTGATCGCAATTCTTTTGGAAAATTATGGTTTGAAATGATACTCATATTTCTGAATCTTCCATACTTATTATTATTTTGGAAATGAGTGAATGATTTATGGGATGGTAATACTGGTTTGAAAAGAGTTGAGTGTTATTCATTTGGGAACCTTATTATTTATACGAAACCTAGGATTATGTTAAGTAAAGTGTTATGGTGTTGGTATCTAATATACTTTTGAGAAAACTATTTTGAGGAAAGATATATTACTTACCTTTCGTGTTGAATTAAAACTACTTTACTAAAGTTGTATTAAATCTATTTACAAAGTGTAACTATTTTCAAAATTAAAAATGTTAATATTTTATAAGGCGGAATATAGTTTACTTAGCATTTTATGTTAATCCTATCATTTGTGTTTTCCAACCTTATTTGTTTTCAGGATTTGGAGTTGTGGTTAGTTCTAGAGCGTGATGTAGAGGTTGTAGCCTTGGATATGAATTTGGTATAGATTGGTTAGTTTTAGAATCTGAACTGTTAGAATTATAGTTAACTTGTAGGATATAGAGTTGTTGTAATATGGATTTGTAGATAAAAATCTTTGTAGCTATGTGTTTGGGATTAGTTGGTTGCCCCAGTGTGGCATAACACCCAAATGGTTTAGATTTTGATTTCGCTTCCGTATTTGTATTCAGCCTTTTTGTAATAAAAGTCTTTTATTCTGATTTTAAGTTTGGGGGTGTTACATCTATGCCCTCAAATTTTGGAGTGCAATCGGGCATGGCACCGCCAAGTTCAGTTTTCTTTGTTCGTAAGATTGATGACTCAATTGGACTCTTGCTTGAAAATATAATATTGGACATAAATGATCATGGGGTGAGTTGTAACACAGTGTAATTTTAAATTGAGCCCAATAGTATTTGCATTCAAATTGAATTCAGTTGGGCCAGGGCTAGTGGAATTCATGTCAGAAATAGTGCTTACAATTGGGTATAAATAGATCAGTATAATTATATTGTATATTTATATTTTTTTAATATAATGTGTGTGTGTGTGTGTATATATATATATATATATATATATATATATATATATATATATATATATATATATATATATATAAATATATATAATATAATATAAACAAATAGAATATAGAATTGATATATAAATAGATTATATATTGATTTTTTCATATATTAATTTATTTTTTAATGCTATAGTACATTATATATAAATATATAAATATTTATTACACAAATCCTCTTTTTTTACCTTTTAACATTATTTTGCTTTATTTTTGAAAAATGTAATAGTTTTTGGTCAAAATGTTATTAAACACAATAGGATAAAATTTAATAAATTTTTACAAAATAAAAATATGGACACTTAAAATATTTAAAATTTAAAAATGGAAGGATTTTTTGATCGTCATTGCAAAGAGTAAGCTGCATGATTGCATCCCAAATTAGTCAGCCCAAAGTCTTTCTTAATTGGTTTCTTATCCAAGTCTTGTTATTATCTTCCAACTGGCATGCATGTGCTCTATGATAATTTAATTGGTGCAAGTGTCAAAGTCATATAATAGGTTAAATATGCATAATTAGCTTTGCTTTTGTAACTTTATTACTTTTGTGTACAAATTGTTAACTTTTTATCACTGTACCGAATCGATTATCAGGCCGGCCATTGCCCATTGGTGTCCTTAAAATGCGTGGAAATTATGGTCCACACAATGTTACGTGAATCATAATAAAAAGTACATTATTTTTGTACTGAATGTATATTATACAATATAATATATACTCAGTATAGAAATAATGTACATCTCCTGAATACAGTGTTCATTATTTTTGTATTGAATGTACATTATTTTTGTACTGAATCTACATTATTTTACAGTATACAAAATATGGTCCATAGAACTTGTGTGGACCATGGTCCACACAATAATGATTGAATGCAAATGGCAAGCTTTTTGGATTATATCCAAAAAAAATTTTGAATGTTAGTCACTCTATTATATTGTAGTATCTGTTCAAATATATTTTCTCAATTTAACGAAGTATACAGAGTCAACAATACCTCAACTGAGGCTCGATCTTATGACATAGGTGAAATCACTACATGTCAAATTAGTTCTTTTATTTTTAATTTTATTTTTTTGTTTCAAAATGTTGATAGGATTGTAAGGATGACAAAAGTTTTAATTCGTGCAATGTTGACATTATTGCTTGAAAATGTTATATCCAGTCTTTTATTTTTAAAAACAAATAAAGTTAAATGTTATATCTAGGCACCAATTGGAAGTTGGTGTTCTTAATCACAATATAACTTCGGGAAAATTGTAATTTAATTGGTGTTCTTAATCACAATATAACTTTGGAAAAATTGTAATTTATACTCCTTCATAATATGTCAATTATCTATGTCACCCCTAAATTATTAGTAGTGTAAATATTGCTCCTTAATTTTCAAAATGGTACATATATTGCCCCTCTCGTGTCACACGGAAGTGACAATATATGCGAAAATTTATTCATAAAAATGTAATACTTTTAAATCAAAATACATTATTAAGGGTTGAATGGGTCGGACAATCCCAACCAAGTTGGTCAGGCTGTTGACTTAATAATCATAGTGTTACAAGATTAATTTCTTCTTGGTTTGAGCCAAATAACTAAATTAGGGTCACAAAACAGGATTTACCCAATGCGAAATTTCCATTGCGAGACAATCTCATATGAACGAGAGGAAGGTAATAAAATGTGTAATACTTTAAAAAGAAAAATCAACAACAAATTACTTTTATAATAAAACTTTGTTGTCCAATAATACACACATATATATAAAGGATTATGCATTCACACCCCTAATCACAACTCCATTAAGTGGTGAAATCCTAAACATTAAGAAATTCAAAATAAACAAATAATGCATAGGATTTTGCCACATCCTGAAGCTGTAGATTTGTGAGTGACAAAATTCGAAATTATTAGCATTTTTTTTTTTATATTTAAAATAGTATATTTAACATTTTGATATTTTTATTTTTGTCCATATTTTTTTTTGAATGCTACTGGCTCTATTACAATGTAGTATCTGTTCATATACTTTCTCAACTTACTGAAACATTTTGATATTTTTATTTTTGTCCACATTAAAGATACTATAATTGTTATCTTTACTTTACTGTTGCTTAAATGTAAGAGCATCCACAGTTGTGCATATTATGGGGAGATTTCAGAATGAATTCTTCTCAATGGGGATAATAACAAATGTGGGGTGGAGTTATTTGTGGAAATAATCAGCCTGCAAATGAAGGGAGATTTCAGAAAATTGTGGGACCCACCATTAAAGGATCACTGGTGACAGCCACGCGCCACAGCGGGCGCGTGCACCCAGGCGCGCCTGACAGTCTTTATTTATTTATTATTATTATTTTTTTAATTTAATTTTCCTTTTTTTTTTTCCTTTTTTTCTCTCCCCTCCCATCTTTTCTTTCCTAATCACTCTTACATTATCCCCTATTCTCCCCAACAAATGTGGATGCTCTAAGATATTTTGGCCAGACAAGAGCATCTAATTCAACTTTCGCTCATCACTTGAAATGAAATAACAACTTTTAGAATGGACCTATTTTGTCGGTAAGTCTTTTTTATTTTAAAAATTGAATTATTCCCCTCGAGAATAGCATATCATTATTTGAACCTGCTAAAATTGAGGGGTAACCTGCTATCAGATGAAATTGCATACATTTGGAGTGTTCAGTGGTCTAATTGCACTTTATTTTCGTTCAATGGCCTAATTGCATTTTCAAATTACATTTAGTGGCCAATTTGAACCTTATTCCTATAATATAATGTACACTCAGTACAAAAATAATGTCCATCCCCTAAATACAATGTATATTATTTTTGTACTGAATGTACATTATTTTACAGTATACAAAATATGGTCTACACAACTTGTGTGGACCATGGTCGACACAATAATGATTGGGGGAAGGGAGACCTAAGTGTTAATTAGGTGATTTATACATGGACCAAGATTCACATAACATTATAAATTCTGAATCAAAATGACGGGATACAAAATTCATACTCGTAAGGTACAAAATTTCATAACACAAGACACATACTCATGTTAAATATATGTACTTATTTTTCAAAAATGATTTAGGTTCATCATTTGTGTTTATAAACAAAGAATTTCACAACACAAGACATAACACATAATTATTAATTTTTTTGAGTACACACAATTATTAATTTATTTAAGCTAAGGTACAAAATTCCTACTCTTAAGTCGTAATGTACATAATTTTAAAACACAAAACAAAAAACTCATAATATAAGAAACATTACTATTAAGATATCAAGAAGATATTTTTTGGGAGATGTGAACAAAAGCTTCATATTTGGATTATGGCATATGGGCACCTCACTTGAGTGTTGACCCTATATTGTCGTAGAAATTATATATATTATATTCTAGCTTCCACCGCAATTTCACATCTTACTTCCACTCCACAGTATACTTTCTTCGCATAGTTTTCTTGGCCTGTTTGATGATTTTGTTGGAAAAAGAGGATATCTGGCTACAAGAAGAAGACATCAATTCAACACTCTGCGCTTTAATTTTCATCCTCCATACGTCCTCTAAACATGCTGATGTTGAATCCGGTAATATAATTATCATAATCTCCACTCATTCATTTCGATGAGGATTGATCACCATTTTTTTCTTAACTCCCATGCTTATTATCATCCATGACTTTTAACGAATAAATATTTAACATTTAATAGTAGTTCATTAAGCATGAATTTTTACATAATATGTGCTATATGTATGTTCCTTTGCAATAAAGTTGATGAAGGGGAAACCCGATCCGAAAGAAATAATCTAGTGGGTCGGCGAGTTGCCTTCCCCAATTGTAGTTTTTGTTGGGATTCTTTCAGAAAAAAAAAAAAAAAAAAAACTGATTGCTTGATTTTAGAACATATGAAACATATATAGTAGAGTTCACGTGCGATCGCGCCTTTCCGTGCGGTTAGTGCGACCACACTAATAGTTATGAAAATATACACCAACAATGTTAGGAAACGCACAACAAAAAAATGCACAAATTAGGTACGCATCACTAAAGACGCACCATTAGGTATGACTAAAAGCATCACACAGTGTTCGAAAATGCACAATTAGGGTGGAGAGTTATGTTGCATTTTTTTTTTTTTTTTTGGTGTGTTGTGCGTTTTTTGGTATACTTGTGCATTTTATTGTTTTGCATTTTCCTAATACTATTGGTGCATTTTGTTAACACTATTGGTGACTTTTTCTAGCGGCCGCACTGACCGCACGGGAAAGCGCGATATATATATATATATATATATATATATATATATATATATATATATATATATATATATATATATATATATATAATTAGGTTCAAATATGATTGGTGCGCCCAGGTGCGGTTAAATTTGAGGCATTGATCTTACTTAAATCAACATCCAGGATTACCAAAATTTAAAAAAAAAAAAGAATATATATATATATATATATATATATATATAATTAGGTTCAAATACAATTGGTGCGCCCAGGTGCAGTTGTGCGGTTAAATCTGATTCATTGGTCTTGCTTAAATTAACGTCCAGGATTATCAAAATTTAAAAAAAAAAAAAAAAAAAACTTGTTGGGAATTTGGTAATTTTTGCATCTAGATCAAATTTAAGGTGTGTGGGTTTCGTGATTAAGGTGCACGGGTTTTGTGCTTAATGTGAGTAGTTGTGGAATCTTAGGCAAATTATGTTGTGCATCCGTATGCACCATGCATGGTGCATACGGATGCAAAAACAACGTCGTTTTATTAAAAACGTGCGTCTCCCTTTAAAAAAAAAAAATTCAGGTTCGATTCCCAGCAACAACATATGAACTAAAATTCCAGAATCAATGTACTATAATTCCAGAATCGATGAACTATAATTCCAGAGTCTATAAACTAAAATTCCAGAATCTAATCTATGAACTAAAAATTCCAGAATCGATGAACTACAATTCCAGAATCGATGAACTATAATTCCAGAATCAATGAACTAAAATTCCATAATCTATGAACTAAAATTCCAGAATGAATGAACAACATAATGTTGTTGCTGGGAATCGAACCTGAATTTTTTTTTAAGGGGAGGCGCGTGTTTTTAATTAAACGACGTCGTTTTTGCATCCATATGCAACATGCATGGTGCATACGGATGCACAGCATAACTACTCTTAAGTTGCGTCGTTTCCTTCTTAAGATGCGAGATTTGTATGCTTAAGGTGCGTCAGTTGTGTGAAATGTAAGGTGAGTCATTTTAAAACTTTAGGTGGTGGCTTGTGTTCTTAAGGTGCTTTGTTTTGTGTTTAAGGTGCGTGGTTTGTGTATTTAAGGTGAGTGATTTGTATTCTTAAAATGCTTTATTTGTGTGCTTAAGATGCGAGATTTGTATACTTGTACGTCGTTTTAATGCTTAAGGTGCGTCAACCGTATAATCGCATTAGAAGCTTATACCCGTACCTGAACATTTCCCTATGTATATGTACATATAGTTTGATGTTAAGTTTTTGTAAACATACAATTATTGAACTAAGAATTGGTGAAGAAGAATCCAATTAATCAACACTCTACGTTTTCAAGATGATGTAGGATATCAGAGACATGGATGTTGAAAATCCTTTTCCTCCTTTTACTCCTGATGCACCGATGTTACGGTTTCGGCGGTTGCGGTCTAGATTTGGGTCAAAATCACGTTTTGCTGTACAAGGTAATTAATTACTACCAAATATTATATATTTAAACATTCAATTAATTACATGAAAACTAGCTAGCTACTTATGAATTTTATTTTTATTGTTATCTCAATAATAATCTAGGATGATCTACAAATTTTCCTAGCTAGCTAAGGTATACAACTATACATGGAACCAACTAATTAACAATACATTCTTCCAAAAGGCTGAACCTCAACCCTAAGGGGCCCTCTCCCCCAACCCATCCCTTTATATATATGTATGTATATATACATATATAAGTTAACTTCAAAAGGTTATGACCCTAATTATAGTGTAATCTATCAAAAACATTTTATTGTAATTTATGATGTATTTTGTATTTTAATCTTATAATTACTGTTTGGCATTTTGTCATTGACATTTCTAACATCATTTAAACTTTGCCTCCACTCAGAAGATGATTTTTTGGATCCGTCCCAGGATGATCCTGAAGTTCTTTCAGATGCAATATTCCACGACCTATATAATGCTGCCATAAATGGCGACTGGACAAGTGCGGAAGGTATTCTACGTGACAACCCGAGTTACGTTCGTGATAGCATTACAAGAAGAAAGGAAACGGTTCTTCACATTGCAGCCTTGGGAGGAAACACATTATTTGTAAGGAATGTAGTGGAGATGCTAGCAAGTGATGATGATTTGGAAGTGCAAGATGTGTATGGATGTACTGCATTCTATAACGCAGTTGCGTCGGGAGTTGTGGAAAACGCCGAGTGTATGATAGAACTGAACAAACGGCTGCCAAGTATCCGGGCTGGGGCGGGCTGTAAAAATTTTGCTCCTATCCATCAGGCGGCTTTGCTACGACATGAGGAAATGGTTTCTTACCTCCACACTGTCACGCCTTTGGAGGGTTACTTGGATCGCAAGGAACGCATTAAGCTTCTCGAAATTACTATTTATAACGACATGCATGGTATGTAGGTATACATGCTAGCTAGCTAAGCTTTTTCTTGAATGATACTGACTCTATTACATTATAATATCTGTTCAAACATACTTTTTTAACCTAATGAAGGTACAAAAAATCAACAACACCTCTACTAAGACTCGATCTCATGACATCTTATGAGGCTATGAGAGAGGTCACTATATACCATCTGAGCACAATATGTTTGGCCAAAGCTACCTTATTAGTTAGCTATATGTTTTGGTCTATAAAAATGAATAGTTTAAAATAATAGCTTATTTTGAAATAATAACTTTTTTTTATCTTTATTAATTTATAAAAATAACACCATACCATTTTCTTTTTTAATAAAAATCATAATATCTTATTTTATCTTTTTTATTTATTTATATATTTATCAGATAATACAACAATTAATTTTAACAAACATTTTAATTTTATTTAATTAATTTATTAGTTTATTAGCTATTAACTTTTTCAACTTTTAATTAGTATAAGTGTGTCAAACAAAGTCATAATAATTAATTATTATTATATACAGATGTGGCATTAAATATCTTAAAGGAGGACAGAACATTAGCATTAGCTAAATTCAAAGGAAATCGATCATTCTTGCATATGTTAGTTCGCAAACAACAACAACAACCACCTGTAGCACCTGCAGGAATTTGGAGAAGATTTCTTGCTGCCGCCTCAACTACTGCACACTTCCCTATGCGTACTTTCCGTAAGACCGTACCACCTATACATATGCATACTTACATTATCATTTATTATTATTATTATTATTATTATTATTATTATTATATGTTAGTTGTCTCAGCTCAATCGATGCATACATGCATTACATATACACAGTGGCGGATCTAAAAAATCATCTGAGTGGGGGAGAATATATATAAGCTACTATACTTTTAATTTTAACTATATATATGTGTGTGTGTATAGATATAGTGCAAAATGAAATTGAAGAAGAAGAAGAATGTTTAGCAAAGACAAAAGCGGGAGTGTTACTTGACATTATTTGGAAAGAGTATTGTAAGCTACCTGTTAATGAGTTTAGAGAGGAAATTGGGCGTCAAGATGATATACTTCACTATGCTGCAAAACAGGGGAATGTTGAGTTTCTAGACATGGTTCTTAAGAGTAAGCCTGATCTGTTTTGTGAGAGCAATAAAAGAGGGCAGACTATCCTCCATGTTGCTGTGTTATACCGACAACAAAATGTAGTGAATTTTATATGCAAGAAACAAGGTTATAAAAAATATATGAGTCGCCGTCTTGACGGAAACAACAACAACATTTTGCATTTAGCGGCAAAGGCTGAAAACGCATTTTGCAAATCTAAGGATAATGCAGCTGATGACCACCTATTGATATATGATGATGATGATGATGAGGTACGTAAAAATATTGGAGCTGATCTGATCTGATTTGAGCTTGAAATAATTATTTTAAAGATAAAATTGTCTATTTTATGTTATCCATTGATCAGTCTATTTAAATTCCTAGCTAACTAGCTAGCTTCCAATAAATTACAGCTAGCTAATACCGGCTCCTACCTTAATTCACTACTGGAAATTATGGAATTTTCGATCACCTGAAAGGCTGAAAGTAATCATAAATTAAGTTGAAAGCAAAAAGTGGCCGGAAATAGCAACCAAGGTTTTTTCGGATACCAAAAGTGGTCGAAACAAGGCTTTTGACTTGATTTAAGATCACTTTCAGGTGGTCGGAAATTTCATAATTTTCAGCCGTGATTGTACTATACATACAGGAGGAAAAGCAGGTAGTCGCAGAAAACAAAAAAAAAGGATGATCAAGAGGAGGAGGATATTATGTAAGAGCCATCAGCTCTTCGGTTATCCACAGCAACCCAAAAGGAGGTTGTCCCAGCAAACAAGAAAAACGATGATCAGGTGGAGGAGGAGGAGGACATTATGCAAGAATCATCAGCTCTTCGGTTATCCACAGCAGCCCTTCACTATGAAAGAGAGATTTCATGGTTTATGGTGAGAACAACCTATATATATATATATATATATATATATATATATATATATATATATATATATAAGTTCTTGTGCGGTTAGGGTGTCCAGGTGCGGTTGTGTGGTTTAATCTGGGTCATTCATCTCGTTTAAATCAACGTCCGGGATTGTCAAAATAAAAAAAAAACGCGGTGGCAATTTTGTAATTTTTGCATGGGGTTGTGCTTAACGTGAGTAGTTGTTAAAACTTAAAGTGTGGACTTTTGTGCTTAAGGTGCGTGAGATTTGTTCTTAATGTGAGTGGAGTTTGTGCTTAATGTGCGTAGGGTTTTTGCTTAATGTGTGTGAGGTTAGTGATTAACGTCAGTAGTTGTTGGAACTTGAGGTCTGTGAGTTAATACTTAAAGTGCGTGGGTTTTGTGCTTAATGTGCGTGAGGTTGTGCTTAATATGTGTGGGTTTTGACATTTTGTACTTAATGCGCGTGAGTTTGTGCTTAAGATCTAACACTTAAGGTGCGTGTTTCTATCACTTAAGGTGTGCCATTTTTAGCTTATGCTTCTTTCTTCTCGACACAGGGGCGTTTTATTTTTTTTATTTTTAATTATCATTGATTTGATCTGTTGATCTAAATTTGATCAACGCCTCAGATCTGACCGCACAACCGCACGGGAAGCTATACCCGCACGGCCGCACCTGAACCCTTCCCTCTATATATATATATATATATCCTTTAATATATATAATTTTGATGAGGTGTCCAGGGGGTGGAGAAGATTGTGCCGTCATCATTTCACCACATGAGAAATAAGGACGGCAAAACCCCAAAGCAATTGTTTTTGAAAGAGCACATGAAATTGAAGATAAACGCAGAAAAATCCATTAGAGGCACAGCAGATTCATGCATGATTGTGGCAACCTTAATCGCCACCGTAGCGTTTTCTGCCGCCTTCACTGCACCAGGTGGTAATGATGACAAAACAGGTATTCCCATATTTATAAAACGAGCAAGCTTTACAGTTTTCACAATATCGGATGCTGTGGCAATGATCTTCTCAATGGTTTCAATTCTCACATTCTTATCCATCCTCATTTGGCGCAACACGGATGACGATTTTCATTTGGCATTGAAAAGATTGTTCGTAGGATTCGCAGCATTGGGTGTCTCCATATGTGGGATGCTCTTTGCCTTTACCGCTGCCTTCTTTCTGGCGTATGGAAGGGCATGGCAACCAATTCTTATTGCCGCATTTGTGGCTCTGCCAATTGCTTCCTTTTTGTACCTAAATGCTAGGTTGTGGATTGATGTTGTTGGGTCAATGTTGCTTAAGTTGCTTCCCTTCACCAAGCAGACAACTTATGTTGGAGGATAATGAAGCAGACCTAACTGAGAAAGGTGGTGAAGAACAAGGCTTGTTATTGTAGTTTCTTCCTATTAGTTTGTTGTAATCGTTTGCTTTGCCTCCTTTATATACGTGTTGTATCTCCTCCCTCTTTTGATTTAGAACTTAATGCATTCAATAAACTTTCGAGCTTTTCCTCTCGCATGTGATCATGTCGTACTTCATCATGGTATCAGAGCAGCGACGAAGCATTTATACCTTGATGAATCTAAATCTTTTACCATGCACTACGATGAAAGAGAAATGTTGAACAGAAGTTTGATAAGCATAAAAGAAAAGAAATAATTGATGGTTTAAAGTCTTTTTAATTTTTTAAAAATGTTTCTTTGATCTCTATTTTTCATAGCAAACTATAACTCCTCGCAAATTCAATTCATTCTACTTCTCAATAGGTAGAATCCTTGTCCAAAATGGGCAAACAACTTCATGACCACAACCATGATCACTTTCAAGTCTTAAAAGCTCTTCAAGATTCCATACATACTTTAACCCAAATTTTGATTCCCTTCAAACACACCACACAAATCACCCTAGTCATGTCCATTTTCCGCTCTCTAATACTGCTTCACCATTAATGGGAATTGAGCAGTCCGATCCGCCTATTCCTTGGCATCAGAACAGGACAAGGTATTCTCTGCAAGCATGTAGTGACCTACTTGATAAATGTAATAACTCTAAACTAAAGAAATTGAATAGAAATTTTACTCTTGCTTTTTAATCTTTTGGGCTATATATGGGATGGATTGGACTTCAATTATATTTTTATTGTTTATCCTAATCCAACCTGGCCCATATTTTAACAAGGTTAGCATAGTCTAGTTTAAATAATAACCAAACATATGACGAGGCAACCTGCCAATTTGACACCACTCAGAGAAAGAGAGAGAGAAAGAGGGAGAGGGAGGGAGGGAGAGAGAGAGAACTAAGCATGCGAAAGTGAGCTAGAAAATGTTATATTAGTAAAAATTTATGAAGACATTTTTCAACAAAATTAGTCATTTTTCGTTTGACCAGAATGAGCATTTTTCATTAACTTCATTTTAGCTAAACCCTAAATATTTAGGAAAATGACTTTAGAAAATCATTCTCTAGGTCTTCAAATGTACATTTAGTTATTTACATTCTGTTCTGAAACCAGAAAAATGATTTTTAGAAATCTTTTTTTTTTTTTTTTAATCTAGGGTTTGACTATCAACGAAAAATACTCATTTCTGTCAATAGAAAAATCACTCATTTTGGTAGAAAATATATTTCGAGATTTTTAGTCGAAACACCGTTTCCAAATTCTTATCTCACACTCAGTCCTCTAATCCTTATGCAATGGACCAGGGGTTCACAGTACATTGTGGACCCTGATGCACGTGTATGTGTCTTATGTTGTGAGTTTTTGTGCCTTGTGTTTTGAAATTTTGTACCTTAAGAATATGAATTCTATACTTGAAACAACTTAGTAATTGTCTTTTATGTTATGAATTTATGTGTCTTGTATTGTGAAATTTTGTGCTTATGATTACAAATTATATTTACCTAAATCAAATTTGAAAAATAAGTAAATATATAATATGTGTATGTGCCTTATGTTGTAATTTTTTGTGTCTTTGTGTAATAAAATTGTGTAATAAATGTGTAATTAATTTGACTCCACATATATAAAGAGGAGAAATTAGATATAAAATAAATATAGTTCTTACATAAATAATCTTTTTCAAATGAATAAGTTTTTAGTGGCGATTCTCGACAAATATCGTCTGTTATTTTATTTACAAGTTTTATTTAAATACGTTAGTTATATAATTAAAGTAGTTATTCAAATTCAAATTCATTTCAAAAAAAAAAATCAAATTCAAATAATAATACAAGTAACAATAAATTTTAAAATCAACCTAATAACAACATAATTAAACTTTTAAAAATATTAAATATTACATTGTATAGTTATATTTACATTTTTAATCAAATTAATACTGAGCTCAAGAACTCAAGTACGTTTTTCTGTTTCCACAACCATTACTTTCTTTGCTAATTCAGAGGATGTCAAAAATTTTATTGATAAATTTGTTAAAGGGAAAATGGCACTTTTTACCCCTGAGTTATATACTTATAGCACTTTTTCCCCCTCAATTATTTAGGTAAGCACATTAGTCCCCTCAATTATTCTAAAAGTAGTGCTTTTTCCCCATGATATATTAAATTGACATTTATACCCTTAAAGTAAACATTTTATTTATTTTACTACTCCAACAAATTATTGCGTATACATAGGGATGACCAAGGTTCGGTTTGAATTGAACCGGATACTAAAGCAATCGAATTAATAGTTTCCGGTTATAATTCAGATCTAGAATCCAATATTTAAATGTCAATTTATTAAAATTATGTATCAAAAAAATTGAATCTTGAACCGTGAACCGGCGGTTCCGGATCCGATTCGCGATTTTGAACCGTCTTTATTTTAAAATTTTATTTTTCATTTTAAAAAAGTCTAAATTCAACAATAAATGTATTTTATTTTTTCAATTCGAAACATGAACCGTCCGTTCCGGTTCACGATTTTAATAAACTCTAAATATCGAATTTCGATTCTAAATTGTAATTGGAATATTTTAGTTTGGTTGCTATGGTGTTTGTTTGGTTTGAACCATGGTCATAATTTGTTGGAGAAAAAAAATAAATTAAATATTTAGTTTAAGGGTAAATATGTCCATTTAACATTTCAGGGGGAAAAACAGCCACTTCAATAATTTAGGGGGAAAAAATGCTATAGGTATATAACTCAGGGGGAAAAAGTGCCATTTTCCCTTTGTTAAATTAATAATAGTTCGTGCATCGCACGAGACAATTACTAGTTATAATTAATATTGACTATATTATCTTGTATTTGTAAACTTAGAATTACCTATTTAACTACACAAATTCAACATTCAATTATAACAACTCCAATATAATATTACTTTGATATACTTTACTCCAATATAATATTATCCTGATATACTTTAAATATTTATTTGAAAATAAATATTGGGCATTATCCCAGTGTGAAAAACTAGTATATCCAATAAATGGTTAAAACTTCAACTACAATAAATTTTATTCAAATACCATGACTCAAATTGGTGCAGTTAAGAAGCTAGACATTGTGGAGAAAATGAGCCAACTTCAACCATATATTTTCACATCCCGTTTAAAACTCTTTTGGTGTCTTACATTCTGAAGTTTATCATTGTCCGTCAAAATGTTGACAACGGGTCTTATACCTACTTTAACATTTTTGGCTACTATTTAATGACTTCTAGCATTAGTTTCATGGCCAATGATTCTAATCGCACCATCAAAAACCTCAGAATGCTCAAACTCAATCAACACAGCAAGGGGGGCAATATGGATCCAGTTCAAGAATTTAAACACCGGAATCCACACAAGAACAAGATGCATGCAATATTTAAAGTAGACTAGAAGTTTCCCTAAGCAGTACATGCATTCTTAGTGTCTACTACTTGAGAGGTCCGTGACATTTCTTCATTGTTGTTTTGTACAAGAAAAGGCAAAGGATGGAAAAAAATGGTGTTTTTGAATTGGATGATCAAATTCAGGTTGGGAGTTGTCAGTATGGTTATGGCCAGATTAGTTGAAAAATTATGCATTGAAATTCTTAAAGGTAAAGAGAATCTAGGAAATGAAGAAGGAAGTGTAGAGGAAGGTGAATCTATGTATGGACACCATTTGGAATGATGAGAGTAGAATGTCTATTGCAATTACCACCCGAACTTTTTCAATATTGAAAAATCGATCTAGTTTTTTGCTTGTTATCAGTTGAAATTGCACTCCTTTGAATTTTTGTTGAATGGGATTATTTCTCTATGCAATATAAACCTAGTTGATTTGATTTTGTTACGATTTATGTAAGATTATTTTTGTTGTATAAAACAAGAATCATAGATATTAAAAGTGACAGAAAACAAGGATATTTCATATTTATTGCTACTTGAATTTTTTCCATTCTTTCTAGATAGGTAGTTAGCATGTCCATTCGACATTTATTAAGCATTGGCATGATCTGATTTCTAGCATGCATGCATGAATAGGACATAAGGTCAGCATTTTGATTTTGATTCCTACCTGTAGCTTGCATATATAGACAAAGTAGATATTTTGTGAATGTGGTTATGAGTACAATACATATTCTTTCAATAAATTAATAAGAATATAATTAGAAAAGTTAACTAAAAAACTCCTAACTTAGTGTCAACCGCGCTAAGCTCCATTTGAGTTTTTTTTAAAGTTTTTTTTTTTTAAAGAAAAAAAAAAATCAAACTAGTTGTTACCTTATTAATAAATTAAAATAATTATAATTTATAAACTATAAAATAACCTAGGTCAAATAAAGTCTAATAATGACTAATGGAAGGGTTTTAAGCACAAAATTAATGTACTGCAAATGTATTTTTAAATTTAAAAAATGATAAATATTCAAAATTTCCATTAGAATTGAATTAGTGAGAAGCTAGTTAGGATTAAATTATAAGAAAGCAGGATTAAACCATGTATAGATCAAGCGTTGTGCCACTGCCTATCATCTCCCTCCCAGCACCAGCTAGTCTTAAATGTTATTGTTGGGACTCAAAATCTACTCTCAACACAAGCTAATCTTAAATGTTATTGCTGAAACTCAAACATGTGACATGGCTCTGATACCATTGTATTTTCTAAAATATGATTTATTTTTTAAAAATAATTTTCTTGTTTTCAAATTAATCCTAGGCAAATAGCCATAATTGTTGGGTCGTACGTGTATAGTATGACGACAGGAAATACTTGGAATTGAAAGGCACACTTACAAATGACTTCAATTATTTAATTTGGCGTATATTTATGTCTCCATGGATGGTGAAAGTCAGATTTGGCGTATATTTATGTCTCCATGGATGGTGAAAGTTAGATAAGGTTCTGATCTCTCTGCCACAATAATGAAATTGTGGAAACAAGAACATTGACATTTGACAAATGTGTAGAAATTGAAACAACGCACCAGACAAAAATATGTATGTTTTTACTACCAAAAGTTAGCCATCTTCCAACGTACCTTACGTCCTTACCACATCGAAAGTCGACGTCATAAAATGATTTTTTTTC